GCTTGAGCATCCAGACGAGTGGGTAACTGTACGCGGGAAGCGTAGTCGTGGATCTCTGCCCACTGGTCACCACCAACCCGTTCACGTTTCTAACTAATTTTCCGCACTCAGTGACATACCCACTGAGAAGCCCACTCTGGTGATTGGCAGCTCCATAGTCAGAAACATTAAATACAGTAAGATCGTTATTCACGCTAGCGGTAATGACACCCGGTTACGCTATCTCTATAATTATGCTGCTATAGGCTTAGACTGCTGGAGGACATAGGGACCCCTTTTTCATCATTCTGCTTCATTCTAGATAGATAGATAGATAGTTAAAAACAAGAGTTCATACATACTAGTATGGTATTAACTTGAAATGTTCAATTATAAATAAATAAATAACTTTCAGTAAATTCATGTTGTTCATGTTTCTTTAGTTTGATTCAAAATCAAATTAAAATGTAAGGAGGAACCTATGTTTTGTTCCGCATGTCACGTTGTTGCCCATGGGAAAGATTGCTCAACACAATTATTTGCATCACTGGGACTGTTTTCCAAGAAGTTTCGCCAGAGAACGTTCCGATTTGTATTGCTTTACTTGTCTTTATTTGTGTAAACCTTTATATTTGTTTTGAGCTAATTTGGGTTTCTGCTTCCCATCTTAGTTCTGACGGCATTTTATTTTATTTTTTGGACTTTGTAAGACGTGTCCACAATAAATGGCTGTTAAAACCAAAAGAACGCCTTTTAGCCTTGATTAACTTAACTATTTGAATCCAACTGAAATCTAAATGGAGAACTATAAAAAAAAAAAAAATTCTGATTATGTGCGATTTTTGAGGCAAAAGATTGCCTCAAAAATGTTTAGTTCTTGTAACCTTTTCAGGTTTACAGCGCATCCTAACTGTGAAGCACGGTGGTGGGAGGAGCTTGATGTGGGGTTGTTTTACTGCAGGAGGAACCGGTGCACCTTCCATAATAGACACCATAAAAAACTTAAGCCTGGGAGGTGAGATGAGATAATATCTTGGATGTGCATGCTTGCTTCAAGGGGGAAAAGCCCACAAATTTGGAATTTTGGATTCGCCACGTAGAGCCAGCAAGAAAAGACTAAATTCTGACAGAAAATTCCTGTGCAGCCTGCTCTCAAAACAAGAAATGTTATTCTGGATTTTCCCCCCTATCAAAATCTTCCCAGGATGTTATGTCGAAAGGGCAAAAAAGAACTGCTCCCCCCCTCCCCTACCTACGAGCATCTATGGATCCATCCAGAACTGTAGAGCCGGTTGATAAACCTCCATCTCAATAGGGACAATGACCTGTCATACACACACAACTAATGTCAGATTGACTTTCATGTGGCTCCAGCCTCCGATGTTTTCCTTCTGCTGAAATGTTTGTCTTGTATTTTATATGTGTTTTTCTTGTGTTGAGGTTTTTGGCAGTGGCGGCCGGCCCATAGGGGGCGCTGGGGCACCGCCCTCCCTGATAAGAAGAGAGAAACGTAAAATATATTTTTACAAATTAACTCATAAATGTCAGTTTTACTCTCTAGAGTGTGTACCTATAAGCAAAACAATTTGTTTAAACTACATTTCCCAACCTACTGTCATTCATTTGTGACTCCTACTGTCTCTGTCTTGGGGCTCTGATCAGACTGCCCCACATGTGCAGAGAATCTGCCAATCATGTACTATCGCTAGGTGAATTTAATAATTTAATGGCCAATCAGCGTCTCAGAATTTTACGGTCTTGGGGCTCTGAAAATACTGCCCTTTAAAGGAGAATTCCGGTTTTTAACACTTTTAGCC